AGTATAAAAACATGAGTATAATAATACAACAATTAAAAATTGTACATACATGTGAAATATCAAATTAAGCATATCGTTTTAAAAATAAGACTATTTTATAGTTAAGAACCTATTCACTGATATCGGGCGTGCATTCATTAAAAAATAACTTAAAGACTTGCCCGAGGTTTACAAGACATACATGTAACAACACTTACATTACATGATAGTTTTCGTCTATATAGATGGCAATGAACTTTAAAGTGGAATAATTGATAGGGGTTCTACCGTTCATTTCCATGAACTAAAATACAATAATGTCCTAAACTGGCTTATTGTTGCAGTATTCCTTTCTCTCTCTCTCTCTCTCTCTGTATCGGATGATGCTTAAAAAGGAAGAGAAAACGGGGAACTCGGGGCAAAAAACGAGAAAATGCGGAAAAAAGAATATAGAAGTTGCGAATCCATAAACATATCTATTGATAAGTACCTAATCCTTTTGAGTCGATCAAGGTTAGTGATGTTATTTTGGCACAACTTCTCGATTCTTTTGTAACAAATTGAACTCCTCATTTTTTCTTTTCTTTTTTTCATTGGAAAGAGGGCGTTTGCGTTATTAATGCTTGTACGCAGTAGACGTATAGATGAATATGAAAAATAATATATAAAATATTCATTATTAATCAGATCGTATGAATATATCTATATCATTAATGATGTCAACTTTTTGCTTGCTAAATTTCCTTTTCTGTGTATTCTTCTTCCCCAACTAAAGATAAAGAATATTATGCACTCTTTCCAAACTTAAACTAGCTGTTACACTTTATATTTCTAGGCGACACTATCTTTTCATTAGATTTTTCTAGTCTTAAACGCCTCAAGAATTGCGAAGCAGCTCATTCTGCTATTCATATTAAACAATTATATTCTGACATCGTTTAATTCAAATATCTAAATGTAAACTCTCGCACCCAAAGGCTCCATAGCTCTGCCATCCACACATCTTTCCGTTGTTGTGATACTCTCCCATTGATCTGAAGACTGATGTTGTGTCTTCATCTCTTAAGACATGGCTCTCAAAACTTCAAGTCCAATGCAATAATGTGAGTTAAATTAAATCCAAAGACCCGATACTAATTGGCAATTCAGGAGAATGACATGTATTTATGTTTTTCATATTTTGCAATTCATGATTCTTACGATATTATTCGGATACTTGCAAATCAATTTCCCTTGATGATATTCTTAATTGGTACTGAATAAAAACAAACCCATTATCATATATATTTGTGTTTATCCAAGTCAGCTCCATATTATCAGCCACTCCCAAATGTTTAAAATTCGAATGCATAGTTAATGACCTTATATTATACAATGCGATTTCTTTTAAATCCAGGTCAGTCCCATGAAATGTGGCCATTCTCAATGTTTAATTTGTACCCACTTGCACAGCGCCCTCTTCATATCCATGTTCAATGTCCTGCTTGAGCAACATGTACATGTATTTACTTCTTTTATTTTATCTACAGCAATAGGCCTATGCATGAACACAATGATTGTTGTCTCACTCCTTTCGTTTCCAATTTTAAGGTTAACACCAATGTTTTCAGTCCGTTTGAATTATACTTACAACTAATTGTCCGTTGAATCTAGAAAAGACGACAGGTTATAGTTATTATTCATCGTTTTCCTTTCTCGGCATCCATGTGACTCTTTTGGTTGGCTCCGCTATTCACTTTTTTCTTGATTTTGTTTATGCTGAATAGATAATTATTGTAATAATAATAATATTAATCACCATCATCATCATCATCATCACCTTTGTCATCTGCAATTGCTTTCTACTATATAAGGACTACATTTGTTCAATCCTATTTTGATAAATGAAGCATTCGGAATTTCCCCTTCCATTTACATTTACATACGTATACAAAAATATACAAAACAAACACTCTTTGAAAATAAAAGAATAAGACTATGATAACGTTAATAATCGTCAGATTTTATTGTACTGTTCATAAACATGGAAAGTTCCCATTCTGTCATAATATGTCATCATAATAATTATGTAACCAAATCTTGGCACAACACATATTCTTTACTATGATTGTGAAAGACATTGCCCAGGATAGATGCGAGCAACCCTTGAGACTTGAAAGCATTTAAAAGAAATATAGGGCAGTTGCATTCATGACCCCTCCCAGCATACAATTGAAGGGAACATACTATCACAGTATCATATTCGAATATGATAACTGTACAAAGAATCATATACACTCATAATAAAAAGGAAATGAGACATTAAACAGAAGTATCATTCAAACTCAAAACATAATATCTTACAGTATGAGTCAATAAATTCACGAGAACACTTATACAGTTATCTCATTAGGAATACTTGGTAAATATAATGAAAGAAATAATTATATGCAAATCGGAAGAGGTTTATTATGTAATACAAAAATGAATGCTAGAAATCAAATCCTCCATCAATTTTACATATCGTCACATTAATAATTACCATCACATTTTTTCTTTTATATGAATGCAGTGTATATTAATTTCGATTTAATACGATTCAATTTGATTCAATGTGGTTCCATTTGTATTTTTCCAAGGTAAAACCATTGAAATGTTACATGGGATCTTTTTTGCAAGGAATAGAAAATACATATGTAAACACAAAAACAGTAATAATCGGAATACATAAGTGATAAATATATACACAGTCGTTGACATCTTAGACATTAAAACGTAAACTAACCTATAGCATGAGCACTAAGAAAGAATAAAAGGGGAAAAGGTATGAAAGGGGAAGAATGACAGTAGATCAAGGTTAGGAGAGAAGGAAATGAGTCAGAGGAAGGAGAACAATATAGAGAGAAAGGAAAAGAGCCGATGCAAGGTAAAGAACAGAGAAGTAGGGACGGTTGTAAGAAGAAGGAGAGAATATCATGAAATGATAAAGGTATTTAAGAAGAAGATAATGAACTCCCATTTTAAAATTAGTTAACACATTCGTATATTGACATGGAAGTGTAACAGAAGACAATTACGAAAAAGATAATATAATAAGAAAGAACCGGGAAATTAGAAGGGAAAGAAGGTGAAACTGACATAGTAAGTGCTGACATATTAACTTCATGAAAAGTTTTTTTTTTTTTTTTAATATAATATATGTAGACAGGGTATGTGATGGTTTTCGAAATGGTTGATATTCGCATATTCCATTCAAACAAAAGCTAAACTGCAATAGAAGATGGAATATCAGTTTTCGCATTAGATTACAATGTCAGCTGTAAGTACAAGACTTAATTCATACGGGCAATTTAATATTGCAATTGTACATATTTATACAATTATTATCGTTATTCAATGTGAGCTGTTACACGCACTCATGGAAAAGGGAATGAAGGATTTCAGATAGCGGTATGTTCTACACTTTGCAGACTTGAGTCGTTTACCTGATCGCATCCAACAACATTCAAGTTAGTCTACCTTATAAAGAAAAGAAATCCAGTAACAACATACAACAGAGTAGTGAGCAAAATTGTTTTAAACTAAAATAATCAGGAATGCAAACAAGAACTTGTAGAGATTACATGTAGGCATACCACAACAATCGATTTAAGATCGATGGGGATAATGAATAAGACATGACCTACAGTCAGTGGGATACAGGGGTAAATCCCATGAGCTACAGAGCATAACACGAGTCGGCGCGACGACTGTTCACGTGAATGTACATAGTATGCTATTCCAATCACATTAACTATTACATCCTCACCGGGTACCTATTTTAAAACACCTGGGTGGGGAGGAGTAATGTAGATTAAATGCCTTGCTCATTGATATGAGTGTCGTACAGGGCCTCGAACACAAGATGTTTATACATTTCCAGTCAAGTGATGAAACCACTCGACTACGACACCTCTATGATAATGATGGAAAAAGAAGCAAGGAAATTCCGTAAATTAAAAAAAGAACGTTAATTGCGCTGGTTCATGATTGATAAAACTCGACAATGAGGAGAGAGAAAGAGAGACAGCTATAGAGAAGGGGGTTATATAGGCCTATATATCTGAATTAGAGACTGGAGTAACAATAATTGAATTAAACATTTGTATAATTAATTTTATTTCAATGATGTGGACAAACGTCTGACTACTTCTAAGTTCAAAATCATATAATTATTGGATCAGTAGGGGTTTCATTAAACAACATAACAATAAGGAAATATTTATACAGTAGGCTTGCGGGTGCACCATGTGAGAGAGAGAGAGAGAGGGTTGAGAGAGAGAAGGAAATATTTATACAGCGCATTATACTGCCGGTTAAATCCCTTTGCGCTGTACATGGTAATGCAGAATATTATTGGATTCTGAAAACTAATGTCAACAACAAATATAGCCATGCTCATTGAAATACACCTAACTACATATACATTGGAACATATATACGCAATAAACGAAAAGATAGATACATACAGTAAACAAATTTAAGGCACATTATATTATTTACGTTCAAATTGTCATGCAAACATTCTTGTCACTTTATATCACAATACATAAATGAGGATGAATAAAATTCATCACGTTTAAATTCAAGATAATGGTTTCTAATATATATATATATATAGTTAGTTAGTCATGCGTGCAACAAAATAGAACTAAATTGTAAATAAACGACGTACGCCATTCTTTATAATCTAATCAATATATACAAAATACTCAATTTCAGTAAACAATATTTGGCGCTAGTTAACAATATTTTGCTGATACCCAACGGAATAGATCATGCTAATTAATACAAATACTATATAGTAACACCGCCGCAACAACCACATCATCAACAATACCACAACAATAACAACAAAAGCAACGACTACTACTACTATTACTAGTGATATCAGTGCGCTATACAATAAACAATTAGTTACATAAATACAGAAATATATCAAAAATGTTAAGCTGAATGCCACATGATTTACTCTTAATAATGTTCTTGCATTCAATGTAATAGTGTACAATCACTAGATGAACTTGTAGAAAAATAGCTGATTGGATATTTCAAATTCTTATGCATTTATACAGCCTTAATTTATAGTTAGTCAGTAATTTATAACTTGCGTTGCAAAGACCCTCCTTCGTATGGGCACATACAATTTGGATACGTTATTTACAAATTATCAACAGACAAAATTACCAACTCAAATATATCAGACAAGATTGTTTTCCCTTTCAAAATGAAAATCATAAATCATAAGAAACCTTTTATGTGATACATGCAACAGTTCATATACAAGAGATATTGGATAAAACAAATATAGATTGCTTTATTTGTGAATTAAAAGGGTCTTCATTGGCCTTTTTGGAAGGGCGATGTAGGCCTACATGACTAGATACATTCCTTCATTTCCTATCTGTGGATACTACTCCAAAAGGTTTACCCTAAAACTCCTGCCCTTGTTTGAAACCTACATAGCAAATATGGCGTGTAAAGCACTGCCAGTTGAACAATTCAAATTCGAAAAGAAATATTACTGTATTAAAAAAAAACAATAACAATGATATTTTACAACATTTTGGCCCTTTTACAAGTTTTGAGATTTCCACCGTGTTAATCCAAGTAGGCCTAACACCCTTTAAAGTATATTGCCTGTGTATATTAAATGAATGAACACTGAGAGTGACATTTTGAAGGGAAATCAAAATCACAATTTCTTAAACAAATTAACGAAAGCTGCAATACCGATGTAAAGCATACACATCCGTCTAAATCATATGAATGTCAACGTGATTCAGTGGATGAATATTAAAGTCGATTGCATGAAAATTGCCAAAGAAAAAAATCTGATGATGTGTTTGAGGCACTTTTCATTTCCGCCCATATTTCCTGTTCGTGTGCAAAGGTTGTCTGCTCCGTCTGATTCGTCAGATCGAGTGTGGTGCCACTTCTATGATTAAGCAAAGTTAAGACTATAGCGATGGAGAGAGAGAGAGAGAGAGAGAGAGAGAGAGAGGGGAGAGAGAGAGAAAGAGTGTGAGAGAGAGAGAAAGCCGAGAGAGAGAGAGAGAGAGAGAGAGAAAAAGAGAGAGAAAGAGAGAGAGAGAAAGAGAGAGAGAGAGAGAGAGAGAAAGAAAGAGAGGGAGAGAGAGAGAAGTGTAAAAGTGTGCATCAACATACAAACAGCGCTACATTAAAAAATAATCACATAGAGCAGTAAACGGAGGGCAAAGAAGAGAGATTGAATATCACACAGCTTTACGTCAAACAGAATCATCCTTACTAATTTAATTTGAATTTATTTTCTTTTACAACATGTAAACGGGAAAAATCTGTTAATCAGAGATAATGAATACGTTGAAAACGTCTTAATACAAATATGCGCGAATAATCTAAAGAAATAAGCCAACATGTAATATGAAAAATGGTATAAATAACTTTAGTTTATCACTTCGCTAATCCAGTAACCTAAGCCAATTATGCAATAGGCACCCTTGAACATTTATGACTACACATTTCCAAAGGAATATTAATTTACATGCACGCCAATTGTCAACTCTTTGTTACATTTTGCACAGATTAATTGATGTGAGACTATTTTTTTTGTATTTTTTTTGTATTCTATTTATTTAATCACGGTTAAAAAGCCTGCTATCAGCTAGAAGATGCTTTTTATCAAGGCCGTGAACAACAATTGAACACAACAAGTAAACGAATACAACAATTTTATACAAAAGAAATCACAAAAAATTATCATAACAACAAACTAAGATGAAAACAAACAAAATGAATACAAAATTACTTGGATAACAGAAACAATGGAGGGGGTGTATTATTTAAGAGAGAGATATAAGACGTGCGAATGTTGCCAGGCTATTTTTAATCGGATGTTTGCCGGTAGGTTATTGACAAGTTTTGAGGCTGAATAGAGAGGGCTCTTTCTGAGGTAATTTGTATATGAGGGGTACATAATGTCAGTTCCTTTCATTCTCGATGAAAACAGAGATAAACAATTAAACATAGTAACTAACACTTGTATGTTCATTATAGCGTTTTGTTAATGTGAAAGGATACTTCTACAACCAGGGTCTGAAAATCAGACTATTACTTAGGTGATTGCATTCACTTATGTCGATTCGACAACTAATAGTCGTTATTTTCCCACAAAACGCCATTTTCAAACCTTTTCTTTTTGAGGGAAGTCTTTAATAAGTATTGTCTTTCAAATGCCATTGGAATTCAACCTTTGCATTTGTTTGACATGCAAATGGGACATGTAGTACCTTAAAGAGCACTGCAAGCCTGGAAGTAAGAGTTTGAAGGACTTACCCACGTGGTTTGCCATGCTCCACCTCCACCTCCATGACCTGATCTTTATTGCAAGCAATTATGACATCATCCACGCCCTCATCTGACCCGCATCGTATGAATCTACCAATATCAAAATAGACGCAATACAGCATTTCTCCTTTGGTGCTCCTCGTAATTTTTCGTATTGTTTTAATTTGATTTGACAAGATGGAAATGCTCATCCACATTTGAAGGGCCAAATGCCCCAATTTTACAATTTTCCTTTAATGGTAAACTATTGTTAAATGACTAATCTCACTCATGGGCAAAGGGTATGAAACCAATTGCAAGTCATCTTAAAAAGGAATAATTTATGTTTATTTTGAGATATGAAAGATAAGTACTATTTAATTTTTTCATTTTTCATCATTCTTAATATAAATAGTGTACACTTTTTTCGGGTGGGGGACTGAGTGTATTATGGATAGGAAAAATGATGAGAGAGAGAACGAGAGAGAGAGAGAAAGAGAGAAAAAGAGAGAGAAAGAGAGAAAGAGAGAGAGAGAGAGAGGGGGGGGGGGGTAAAAGAAATGAAACATATTAAAGTGCTCTGATAACAAATGACAAAATGTCTTACCTGATAATCTTCAGATGTTTGAGGTTGTGAGGTGATCTGAAAGCTTGTAAGATTAGTTCCATCTTACTGTTGCCAATATCCAGTTTGCTGAATGTCACCTTGACAAGCTGAGGGGAGATATTCAGGAGGGCATTGGGTAGTGAAGTGGGCTCCTCGCGGAAACCAGCCGGTTGAGGTGCATTCTCGTCTGTTTGAAAGGTGAGTTCTGTTGCTCCTGGTAGATGGATCCTCTGGATGACGTCACAGTTGATCGTGTCTCGTACCTGTATAGTGATCCTCTTCACATTGTCAAACATCGAACCACAATCCTGCCATCCTTCTAGTGTGTCAGTATCCACTGTCAGCTCAGTCAGGGTGGGGCTCGTGTTACAACTCTTTCTTTTTTTTCTTTGTGTGTTCGTGTTACAACTCTGGATGTGATCATGTACATAAAAAAAGGAAATCAAAGTGCACTAGCACATGTAGTAGGTTGGATTGTTGGTAAATATATAATGTTTCATGCAAAAAAAGCAACCCAATTCGTGAAAATGGATTATGCTAGCCTCATGGGTATTGTAGAATATAAACAAGGATTTTTAAAAGACATAGGCCAAGCAAATGCGAGAAAGCTTTTGCAAAGGCAAGTATAAGTTGCATGGTAGTCTAAGTCAATTTCTTTAAATCTTTTTGGCTTTCATGCAATGCAATATTTATTGTACATGTATATCATTCATTATTTCCTAATAGAGGTATGTTAAAGGCAAGTACAGTTTATAGATTCAATGAAACGGAAACCAGCCTAATTCAGCCATACGTTAGGATAAACATTAACTAAATAATTTCATATTAGTCAAATGCAAGTATTCCGTACATCGTATATGCAATAATTAAATACTATGTAACTAAAATACATGTATCAGAGTTTGAAATAGTAATATTGAAAAGTATTTTTTTTAAATTAAAAAATGTATATCGCGATTAGAACATTTAAACCTTTATCGATGTATATAGTGTTAATTCAATTCAATTCAATTCATTTTATTCATTTCCATTTTCAATAAAAACAATACAAAGGTAAATACAATGATAGGCATTTGCAATATATAAGAAAATGAAAATAGGGAACTAAAAAATAAGGCCAAAAGGCCTTGTGGAGGCATAGTTCCCCGAACAGTAGTTAAGATATTTACATATACAAACAAAACTAAAAAAATAATTAATCATATTACTTGAAGTGTGATGCACAGTGGGCCGTTTAAAAATGTCCGATGCCAAATTTTACTGCAGGATTAACAGATATTTAATATGAAACATGTCTACAAGTACAAATATACCACCATATAGTTGAGCGTTTGAAGTAATGTTTCGTCTAAACAGATTCTTATTTGTAGGTGTTATAATGCATAGGCATATCGTGAGAAAGGCGGGCGAAGTAACCGTGTCCCCCATTGAAGAAAAATATACGCGAAACAAGACATTGTATGGGTATAAAACTTTTTTTTTTTTTGCTCCTTGCCATTATGGTCATGTCGAAATGATGATGCATGTTTTACATGATTTGTATGAAATAACAATTCATTTAAACACCCAAATGCATTATAACACCAGAGAATAAGAATATAGTTATATATATTAACGCAATTTGTACTGCCTTTTCTTTAATTTGAATATTTGAAGATATAAATGTAATTATTACATATGCACAATAGGCAATATATAAAATGTACATGTTAAACTATTTCCAAGGGAAAACTTACAACAGTCTTGCAATATGGCATGTTTTTAAAAATGAACTGTGCTTGGGTAACATCTCAGATGTTATATCAAATGCCCTTCAACATTATAGCCCTTGATTTTATCTGATTGTAAAGATCTCAAAAGATGAGGTGTAAAGTGAATGTATTTTTCTGTTTTGAATTATTTTGTTGTTAATAGTGTATTTTATAACCGAATAATTACCTCTGAAGAGGAAAAAAAAGTCTTTCCTTCGTAATTTAATCAGTCTATTTACTTTGAGTTTATTTCTTTGTAAGCGCTATGGAGTTTTGTATTTAGCTTCTCTAAATATAACATAGTGAGATGGAGAGAAAAAGCAAGGCTTATGACATTTAAAGGGAAAGTCCACCCCCAAAATAAGTTTGTTTCGATAGAGGCAGAATAATAAGAAAATCAGGTGAGTGAAAGTTTGAGCAAATTCTGAATGAAAATAAGAAAGTTATGAATTATTGAAGTTGTGATCAATCAAATACAAATTGGCAACTCTGTGACTTATTATACGAGCTCTCCTTCATTTGCTTTGTGCATAATATTCCATAAAATCATGTTTTCTTCGTTATTGATGACGGAATATATATTTGTTCCTTGCAGGGGGAGTATAGAAACATATTTGCAATTATTATATTTAGGGTGCATGTATGGTTGAAATTTTTCTTGAGGGAAAATGAAAATTTTAGATTTTTTAGTACTGAGCAAATGGAAGTTGAGCTTGCATGATACGTCATAGAGTTGCCAATTTGTGTTTGATTGATCACAACTTAAAAAATCCTAACTTCCTTATTTTTAATCTGAATTTGCTCAAACTTTCACAGACTTGTTTCTCTCATTTTTCTACTCCTATTAAAACTAACTTAATTTCAGGGTGGACTTCCCCTTTAAGTGCCGTTGTGGGTAGGGAGGGGGATATCTTGCATAATTACGGACCCATTCTTATTTTGTATAAATATGTCAGATAGGGGTTTGCCCCTACTCTCGATCCGCCATTATTCATCCCGTAAAGTGATCATGTGATGCCAACGGATATCCTTGCTGGCACACACCGTCTTGTAAACTCTGGAAAAGGAGCTATTTAAATTCAATTATTATTATTATTACTATTATTATTATTATTATTATCATTATCATTATCCTCTGAGATACAAATATCGAATGAAAAGTGTTTCAATCTGTCGTGCAAACTAGTACCTGATCAATTTAGTGAAAAGCAGAATTATAGGCCCTTGGTGTATATCTTTCTATGGATTATCACCAGTATAACCTGGCTGAATTGATGATATGATTTGCCTAATGTTCACATTCTACAGTCCCTCCTAGATATCGTTTTGAAAGAACTAATACAAGTGATCAATTCTTGTTCAACATAGAAGCCGTCTATTGCCATTTGTCAATATAATTGGATGAAGTATAGCTATGAAAAATATTGTTTTTACTAACAATCTTTAATATTACATTTGTCCGTTTTTGTATAAGGACAGAAAATGTTTACTTTTCGCATTAAGCGGATCTAGCTTTTTGCTAAGGGGGGGGGGGGGGTTGACCCAAAGACGATGCGTAGCATCTTACTAGAGCCACGTCGCGGCGAGGCGATATTTTTTTTAGGTGCTCTTTTTGACCCCCGTAAGTGATGTTTTCCTTGCATCTACTATTAAACACAATGGAGACCATGAAAAGCAGTGCATGATAACGTCTTTTTAAATCACAGTTTAATACACAGTTATATTCAGAGTTATCATGTGTTTGGTTAAGTTACCAGATGAATTTAATACCTTCTCACAATATGGCGTTTGTCTATGCACACCACATTTTCACTTGGCAGCCTAGGGGGGGGGGGGGTTAAAGCCCCTAACCCCCCTGGTTTTCAGATGTTCATATTTTGATACCTTATTTGTGACATTGGCATGATATTAATTGGCGTGGGTTCCAGGGGGCGGAGCCCCCTGAGAGCTCAGGGGTCTTAGGAATTAAATTACCATCAGATGAGCATCTAGGGGCCCGCCTTAGGGCCCTAAGTGGAATCCGGGGAGCAGAGCCCTCGGAAGCTCAGGTTTTTTTCCGGATATAATCAGGGTCAGATGAGCATATTTTGATACCTCATTATATTTAGACACTGGCAGGTCACTATTCTTTCTTTCTTTCTTTCTCTCTTTCTTTCTATTTCTCTTTTTCAAAAAAGTGGGAGGGGAAGTTCGAGGCCCCCGAGGCCCCCGAGCCCCGCCGCACAGTGGGCCAGGGAGGAACCAAAGTGCGCCAAAACTAAGTTTGGGTTGATTTTTTTTCCCAATTTTTACTTGCCCAGTTGACAGGTAATACATAGAGGAATGCTTCAGTGAAATATTTAATTCCGGTATGCACAATAAGGGTATAAATTTACTACTTCAAACAGCAAAATCCTACATATTCACAGTTTTAGGGCAAAAGTGACTTACTTTATAAATCTTTCAATTCAACATGAAGTTTTTAAGTTAATGATATGAAATTGCTCTCACATATTCCTGATAGTTCATTTCGTTGAATGAATGGGTTAAAATTAATAGAAACACAATCTTCATGATATATTATAGGGTAATTCACTGAAAAATGGACTAATTATCCATGTTTTTTTATAAATCCAGAAGAAATGTTAAGATCTCCACGGTGTACCGCTAAAATTTTAATTTCCCTTGCCACATTGCCCCGAAAAATGTGGGGTTTTTTGGTCCGCGGCTAAATCATGAAGGATTCGTGGTCATAAATCACGGCGCGAGGGGGCGCGTGACACTTGTTCTGACACCGCGGACCAAAATAAACACATTTTTTGGGGCAATGTTGCAAGGAAAACGGCTCTAACATAATAACGGGCAGAATCGGCAGCCAAATCTGGTATCAACTTAAAGCTTAGACATCAGAAAAAATGTTGATAATAAAATTTAAGGGAAAATCCCTGGAAATCCAAACATTTCCTCTGGATTTATAAAAAATAAATCCCCAAACATGAGTTTTGGCGCACTTTGGTTCCTCCCTGGCACTGTGAGCGGGGCCTGACATTTAAGCCTTTAAATAAGCATATTTCTCACCTGACGGTAATTTTAGGAATTTGTCATCTCAAACAAACGCATACAAAAGTAAAAATTACTAAAAAGTGAGGAAAAATCTCGGAAAATTATGTAATTTCAGCAACATTTGTACATCACCGGTATCGAATTAGAAATAAACCACGTTTGAATTTGTATTGGGGGGGCACCCTACCCCCATCCGTAAGCCAGTGCATCCCCCCTCGATTAACACCTTGTTGGGGAAAAAAAATGCATCTGATCTCCCCCACCTTACTTCTTTCTATTGTTTTCCTTTTTTCTTTCCATATCCTTCCTTCTCTGTTATTTGTTGATGGGGGGGGGGGGGGGGGGGCAACAGCCTAAGAGGCAAGGCCCTTTCGCACCCCCCCCCCCCCACCCGATTTCCCTTTTTTTCCCCTTTTTTTCCCTTTTTTTTTTCTTCTTCCTCTTCTTTCTTTCCCTTTCTCTCCTCTTTCCCTTCTTTTCCTCCTCTCTCTCGCTTTTTTTATTTTTTATTTTTTGCCGGGGGGGGGGGGGGCGCTCCCCCCTGGATCCGCGCCTGGCTAAGAGTCCCCAAAAATATGATCAAATCAATACCTTTGCAGATGATGCCATCGATGACGATGTTGAGTAGAAGTCATCGTGATACCAACCGCGGAGTGTTAGGTCCTTCAGATGAGTCATCTTACAGATGAACTGAGCGAGATCACGTGATGCAGAGGGACGTCCATTGAGATCAGTAGAGTAGATGTCAAGAGTCTCAATCTGTTGTAATAGTACGACATCATGTTGGATAAACAATTGCTGACATTACTATACTGAATTATATATAACATTATATTTTTTTGGCTTCCACTTCCTTAAACGTAATTATTTTCCTAATTGCTTTTTCTCAACGGCGTCCTAGTTTATACAGTAAAATCAACCAATTTAGTCTGACTATCGAAATAAGTAAGCTTCCAATGGATCCCCACCCGTCATCTCGGCCGTGTAATATCCGTTTGACGCGACAATTGCATGCCTCTCGTCCTTCAGTCACAGTGACAAAAGCGACAGCGATAGCGAGTACACCGAATCAGACGTCTCGCCTGAAACGCCTGAAACTCCATCACCCCTGCAATCGAAAAATACCCGGAAAGCTGGAAGGCCGAGGGCCGTTCACTGATATCATCACAGTGGATGTTAAGAGTCTCAATCTGTTATGATAGCAACATTATGTTGAATTATTACTAATAACAACCAAATAAAACTATATTCAACATTCTGCTATATTAATATCGTCGCCACTATGAAAAATCTTAACACAATGACATTTATTTTGTTTATGATGTACAAATCTTGACACCTAAAATTAGTACTAATTTCAGCAGTTCCTGGATTATTTTGAGACCGAGGTAATGGCGTTATTCATAACTAATAGACAATGACATAATGATGCAGAGGGAGGTTCACTTAGACGGAAACACTCTATATAAAGAGTCTCAATCTGTTATGTTAGTAACATTTTGTTGAATTATCAACATCCGATTATAACTGTATTCAAAATTCAGCGAAACGTTTACAATTATATCAATGTCGTTGCCTCAATGAAAATATATAAACACAATACATTTATTTTGTAATGAGGAACTATAGCCTTGACACCTGAAATTAGTACTAATTTCAAAAGTTCATGGATTCTTTTGAGACCGAGGTAATGGTGTTTATTAGTGTTAATTCATAACTGATAGATAATGACAGAGGTGATTAATATGTTTTTGATTGATCCAATCTGGACTTTGGGCATTGCGGATAAAGAAAATTATAATATTTCCTAAATCATGTTGACCTGTTGACTGTGGGAGTAGTTGGGAAATATCAATGAAGGACTTGGCTCATGATCTAAATTCTAGCAGGAAAAAAAGAGAATAAAAAAAAGAAGGCAAAAGGGTCGTGAGCCGGTCACCAATCACACTACTCTTGAGAAAACCCTTTCCTTTATTCCTTGGAGAACCTGAACACCCTGAGAATGTTATTGACAATGTTATAGCGGGGGATCCATGATTGTAAGAGAAGAGGGCATTTTATCCCCCAGTATTATGATCCGATAATTTTACTGATCCTACTACATTTAAACGTCGGAATGAGTTAAGGCTGGTGGAAGGGAAGGGGGGGCGATCCATTATACTGGATGCCAAGAATTAATCTGTTATAATAATAACATTATGTTAGATAAACAATAATATTGCTGACATTACACTACTTAAAAATATTTTTACACTTTACATCATGATACATAGCTATCCTAATTAGTTCATATAAGCAATACATTATTCTGACATTTGATTTAAATAGTACTGTAGCATTACTAGCCCAGTAATTTAGTAAGACGTAGAGGGCGTTATAGGTAATTATGAAATATATATGTGTACATCGTGAGATGTCAGTGAGTCGGCGTTGAGCTGTCGTGTCAGTCGGTCAGCATCGGGCTGTCGTTGCGACAGGTCCGTTACCAGGAACGAGTAAAGTTACTTGAACTGCAGATACTGTGCAAGTTGGTGGCAGCGGTGGGACAGAAGCAACGTGGCTGTAGCAGCTCAGAACGAACTCCCCCAACAGCGAACCCGGAAGTAGATTGGCGCCTACGCATACAGTGACGGTGTCTAGCTACGTGTTAGGTATAGCGCCTATAGGCGCCCGACAGTGATAGCGCCTACCTATATGTGTTAGGTAAAGCGCCTATAGGCGCCCGACAGTGATAGCGCCTACCTACGTGTTAGGTATAGCGCCTATAGGCGCCCGACAGTGATAGCGCCTACCTACGTGTTAGGTCTAGCGCATATAGGCGCCGGGCAGTGAGAGCGCCTACGTGTTAGGTATAGCGCCTATAGGCGCCAGGCAGTGAGAGGAAGCGCCTACACGTTGGAGGTATATCGCCTATAGGCGTCTGGCAGTGGGAGCGCCTAGCTACGTACGTGTTAGTTATAGCGCCTATAGGCAGTGACAGCGCCTACACGTAGGAGGTATAGCGCCTATATAGGCGCCGGCAGACATAGCGCCTATACATTGAGAGTATAGCGCCTGACTGGAGTTTGTGTTTTTATAATTATAATAGAGAATCCTGTAATGGCTGCTAAACGAGTGACTATGGAGGATGAAAATTTGGCCTGTGTGCAGGCGAAGGCAGAGAAAGCGCCTGAGGTTTCGCCTGTGTGTAGGCGAATGCAGGGATTGCGCATGTACATGTAAGGTACAGCGCTTGTGTAAATAATGATAGCGCCTGTACAGTGAATTTTGTGAGTATAGCGCCTGTATGGAGTTTTTGCCTTTATTATGGCCCGGTATTATGGTCGGAGATTTGAGGTCAGGACTGATCATGGGGCACTTCATTGATTTTCGAGATTTGCAGGGATGGATGGATTGATGGCTGCAAGTGATAGCAGAGTGCGACTTCAAAACCGTGCACCGTTCTGGACGCTCACTTACCAATGTTTCGTGTGAAGGCGAAGGCAGTGACGAATTGTCCTCAGTGCGTGTAAAGCGGAACTTCAAGGAGTCAGCAATCTCTGATAAACAAGTAGCACCGAAAGTGGAGGTACCCCGAGATAGCTATGCGGAGGCAAGGACAGTTACGATAGAACCCAGCATCATGAATGAGCAGATGAGCCAAGACCAGGCGCAAGATCCTTCAGTCAAGGTCAAGGGAACGGCTGGATTGGTCAGCAATGGCTTCAAAGTCCAGGGTGGAGAAGCCCTTGGAGGAAGTGAGCCCAACTGGAAATGAAGCAAGGCGTTCCCGACAGGAAATGGGAATAGTGACCAAGGCCATAGGGTAACTGAATGTTGTCTTATCAGCTAAGCTTCGAGAGGTCGTTGTGAAGGAATTGCTTGATGGCAAGTCTAGTGGGTACCTTGGCATGAACAAGACCAGAGATAAGGTTTGCTGGAGGAGTTGAGGTTCTATGGGGTAGGAACGAATGCAGACATCCGCTCGAGTGTACGGCAGTTGAAGGTAGTTCATGTGGACAGGTTGAAACCCTACGAAGTGGCACTCTTCAGCCTACGGACTCCTAGTTAGAAGCGAGTGTAAGTCAGCCCGAAGGTTGAGCAGGACGCTCCTAGCCAACTTGCACATGTCAGCTTTAGGAGAGGAAGAGGAGGTTGACCCCGTCGACAGGGAAGCTTCGAAACTTGTTGAACCGACTGTACCTGCACCACGAAAGGTTCCTGTCCCAGCCTCTAGGAGAGATCTCGCGAGAACTAGGAATCCACCGAGACCCAACTTATTTAATCTTGCCATAAACTCAAACTAAGCAGCCAGTACTTTGCCATTCCAACCAATGTCTTTTGTTGTTTTTACTTATGTACCTGAAATGAATTGTGTAATATCTTGTTCACCTTAAATCCTGCATTCCTTCTACCCTTCACCCTTTGTCTGACTTCAAACTCATATTTCATTCGTTCTCCCTCTACTTCTTTTGTTCTTTCACTCTATTCGAGTTCTTATGTTGCACTTTACGAAAGTGTATGTTGTATTGTTACTAGGCAAATATTTCTTGTTTACGATAGTACAGGGATGCATTGTTTTGTATTTGTTAGGTAGCAGGAGAAAAAGGAAAGGGTTATGTTTTATTTTAACTTGTATAAGCATTGTGTTTTAGGCCATGTATTCTTTGTTTCAGAATTTCTGGTCCTATTCCTTCCGCACCTATTCTTTCCTAAACTTTCCCGTTTCTCATGACGACTCTTTTGTTCTTTCTCTACTAAGTCTATACATAGATAATTTTGTTGTTATATCTAAGTGTATATACATGTACTTTAAGGAGTTTTAAAGTAATTTTGTACTTTTTTGGAAAGATTATTTCGAAGTGATATTATCTTGTTTTGTTAAAAAGTGGTCCGAGGACAGCCCACACTTGGGGAGGGGCTGTGTAGCATAACTAGCCCAGTAATTTAGTAAGACGTAGAGGGCGTTATATAGTTAATTGTGAAATATATATGTGTACATCGTGAGATGTCAGTGAGTCGGCGTGGAGCTGTCGTGTCAGTCGGTCAGCATCGGGCTGTCGTTGCGACAGGTCCGTTACTAGAAACGAGTAAAGTTACTTGAACTGCAGATACTGTGCAAGTGTTGTTTCTTGAGTTACTGCCAGACATTCAGTGATTGCGGGAGTAAGTAAATGAGATTGAGAGCTAGTCCACGTTTATTCTTACACGATATACTTTTGTGAGAGCCCACTGAGAGATATAGTTGATGAATGATTGTCGAGAGCGTGAACCGGGTTTTGAGAGACTGCAAGGCAGAACGCTACCCCGGCAGAGCCCAGTTAAACCACAGTACTTTAAAAAACTAATTTTACATAGCAGAAAAGTGTGAAAATAAATATACATGGGACACTTTGCAATTTCCAAAGGGTTTGATAAATAATACAAACGGGGACAAATGAATTCGATTTTACATATTTGCAGGTTTATAAATTTAAATATTTAGTCTCATCAGTACTCACAATTGAAAAAGCTGTCTCTCCATTAGCAATTCCGTAGCACTTCGAATTGTCATATGAAATTTATTTTTTATACTATTAGTCTAATAATTTTCATTCTGTTTTTATATTATGACAGAAAGTTTACTTTTATCATCCACTTCCAGAAACGATCAACTTTTCGTACCTGCTCTTAACGGTGTACCAATAGGGAGAGTAAAATTCTACACTTGCGTTTGAATATATAGGAAAGAGTACACCTCTAGTATACCCAAAACATGTAGTGATTTGTTGAGAGCCCTGAAATATACGATCACATCAATACCTTCGCGGATGATGCAATCGATGACGATGTTGAGTAGAAGTCATCGTGATACTGACCGCGGAGTGTCAGGCCCTTCAGATGAGATATCTTAAAGATGAACTGAGCGAGATCACGTGATGCAGAGGGACGTTCACTGAGATCAGAGTAGATGTCAAGAGTCTCAATCTGTTATGAAAGCAACATTATGTTGAATGAATACGAATAACAACCAAATAAAACTATATTCGAGAATCAACAATTCATTAAAAATTATATTAATATCGTTGCCGTAGCGAAAACTCTTAACACAATAACATTTATTTTGTGAATGATATACAAATCTTGACACCTGAAATTAGTACTAATTTCAGCAGTTCCTGGATTCTTTTGAGACCGAGGTAATGGCGTTATTCATAACTAATAGATAATGACATAATGATGCAGAGGGAGGTTCACTTAGACGGAAACACTTTATGTAAAGAGTCTCAATCTGTTATGATAGTAACATTTTGTTGAATTATCAACATCCAATTATAACTGTATTCAAAATTCAGCGAAACGTTTACAATTATATCAATGTCGTCGCCTCAATGAAAATATATAAACACAATACATTTATTTTGTAATGAGGAACTATAGCCTAATTGACACCTGAAATTAGTACTAATTTCAATAGTTCCTGGATTCTTTTGAGACAGAGGTAATGGTGTTTATTCGTGTTTATTCATAACTGATAGATAATGACAGAGGTGATTAATGATTAATAATTTTACTGATCCTACTACATTTTAACGTTGGAATGAGTTAGGGCTGGTGAAAGGGAAGGGGGATGATCCATATACTGCATGCCAAGTATTAATCTGTTATAATAGTAACATTGTGTTAGATAAACAATTGCTGACATTACACTACTTAAAAATATTTTTACACTTTACATCATGATACATAGCTATCCTAATTAGTTCACATAAGCAATACATTATTTTGACATTTGATTTAAATAGTACTTTGAAAAACTAATTTTACATAGCAGAAAAGTGTGAAAATAAATATACATGGAACACTTTGCAATTTTCAAAGGGTTTGAGAAATAATACAAGCTGGGACAAATAAATTCGATTTTACATATTTGCAGGTTTATCAATTTAAATATTTAGTCTCATCAGTACTCACAATTAAAAAAGCTGTCTCTCCATTAGCAATTCCATAGCACTTTGAATTGTCATATGAAATTTATATTTTATACTATCAGTCTAATAATTTTCATTCTGTTTTATATTATGACAGAAAGTTTACTTTTATCATCCACTTCCAGAAACGAACAACTTTTCGTACCTGCTCTTAACGGTGTACCAATAGGGAGAGTAAAATTGTACACTTACGTTTGACTATAAAGGTAAAGAGTACACCTCCAGTATAACAAAAACATGTAGTGATTTGGTAAGAGTCCAACAAAATACGATCAAATCAATACCTTTGCAGATGATGCCATCGATGACGATGTTGAGTAGAAGTCATCGTGATACTGACCGCGGAGTCTCAGGTCCTTCAGATGAGTCATCTTACAGATGAACTGAGCGAGATCACGTGATGCAGAGGGACGTTCACCGAGATCATCAGAGTCGATGTAAAGAGTCCCAATCTGTTATGATAGCAACATTATGTTGAATGAATACCAATAACAAAACATTCAAAACTGTATTCAACAATCAACAATATGTTTGAGTTATATTAATACCGTTGCGACAATAAAAAACTCTTAACACAATATCATTTATTTTGTTGATAGTGTACAAGACTTGACACCTGAAATTAGTACTAATTTAAATAGTTCCTCGATTTTTTTGAGACCAAGGTAATGGCGTTTATTCATAACTGATAGATAAGGACAGAGGTAATTAATAGGTTTTTTTATTGACTCACTGTGGACTGGGCATTGCGGATAAAGAAAAGTACAATAGTTTATAAATCATGTTGACCTGTTGACTGAGGGAGAAGCGGGTAAATAATTATGAATGAAGGACTTGGCTCACGATCTTAAGTCTTACAGAACAAAAGAGAATAACACAAGAAGGCAGAACGGTCTTGAGCCAGTCCCCAATCACACTACTCTTGAGAAAACCCTGTCCTCTCTTCCGTAGAGAACCTGAACACCCTTATAATGTTATTGACTACAAAGTGGTGGATCCATGATTGTATAAAGACAGGACGGGATTTTCTTTTCCCGGGCATGTGATCCGGTATTTTTACTGACCCTTATACATATTCACATTGGAATGAGTGAGGGTGTGTAGGAGGGGGGCGTTCTACATACTGGATGTCAAGTCTTAACCTGTTTTAATAGTAACATTGTGTTCGATAAACAATTGCTAACATTAAACTACCTTAAACAGATTCCACTTTACATCATGATACAGTAGCCATCCTTAATAATTATGCAATACGTTATTCTGACATTCGATTTAAATAGTACTTTGAAAAACTAATTTGACATAGCACAAAAGTGTGAAAACAAATAAACATGGAACACTTTGCAATTTCAAAAGAGTGACAAAAATAATAAAAACTGGGACAAAGAGATTCGATTTTTCATTTTTGTAGGTTTTTAAATTGAAATATTTAGTCCCATCAGCATTCACAATTAAACTTGCGTTTAACTATAAAGGAAAGAGTACACCGTCCGTATAACAAAAACATGTAGTGATTTGCTAAGAGTCCGAAAAACATGATCAAATCAATACCTTTGCAGATGATGCCATCGATGATGATGTTGAGTAGAAGTCATCGTGATACTGACCGTCGAGTGTCAGCTTCTTCAGATGGGTCATCTTACAGATGAACTGAGCGAGATCACGTGATGCAAAGGGACGTTCACCGAGATCAGCAGAGTCGATGTCAAGAGTCTCCCTCTGTTATGATAGCAACATAATGTTGAATGAATACCAATAACAAAACATTCCAAACTGAATTCAACAATCAACAATATGTTTGAGTTATATTAATACCGTTGCCACAATAAAAAACTCTTAAGACAATATCATTTATTTTGTTGATAGTGTACAAGTCTTGACACCTGAAATAAAAGTACTAATTTAAATAGTTCCTCGATTTTTTTGAGACCAAGGTAATGGCGTTTATTCATAACTGATAGATAAGGACAGAGGTAATTAATAGGTTTTTTTATTGACTCACTGTGGACTGGGCATTGCGGATACAGAAAAATACAATATTTTATAAATCATGTTGACCTGTTGACTGAGGGAGAAGCGGGTAAATATGAATGAAGGACTTGGCTCATGCTCTAAAGTCTTACAGAACAAAAGATAATAACACAAGAAGGCAGAACGGTCTTGAGCCAGTCCCCAATCACACTACTCTTGAGAAAACCCTGTCCTCTCTTCCGTAGAGAACCTGAACACCCTTATAATGTTATTGACTACAAAGTGGTGGATCCATGATTGTATAAAGACAGGACGGGATTTTCTTTTACCGGGCATGTGATCCGGTATTTTTACTGACCCTTATACATATTCACATTGGAATGAGTGAGGGTGTGTAGGAGGGGGGCGTTCTACATACCGGCTGTCAAGTCTTAACCTGTTTTAATAGTAACATTGTGTTGGATAAACAATTGCTAACATTAAACTACCTTAAACAGATTCCACTTTACATCATGATACAGTAGCCATCCTTAATAATTATGCAATACGTTATTCTGACATTCGATTTAAATAGTACTTTGAAAAACTAATTTGACATAGCACAAAAGTGTGAAAACAAATAAACATGGAACACTTTGCAATTTCAAAAGAGTGACAAAAATAATATAAAACTGGGACAAAGAGATTCGATTTTTCATTTTTGTAGGTTTTTTAATTTAAATATTTAGTCCCATCAGCATTCACAATTAAAATGGCAGTCTTTCCATGAGCAATTCCGTAGCCCTTCGAATTGTCATATGAAATGTATATTATGCACTATTACTCTAATAATTTTCATTCTGTTTTTATATTATGACAGAAAGTTTACTTTTATCATCCACTTCCAGAAACGATCAACTTTTCGTACCTGCTCTTAACGGTGTACCAATAGGGAGAGTAAAATTCTACACTTGCGTTTGACTATAAAGGTACTGAGTACACCTCCAGTATAACAAAAACATGTAGTGATTTGTTAAGAGTCCAACAAAATACAATCAAATCAATACCTTTGCAGATGATGCCATCGATGACGATGTTGAATAGAAGTCATCGTGATACTGACCGTCGAGTGTCAGGTCCTTCAGATGAGTCATCTTACAGATGAACTGAGCGAGATCACGTGATGCAAAGGGACGTTCACCAAGATCAGCAGAGTCGATGTCAAGAGTCTCAATCTGTTATGATAGCAACATTATGTTGAATGAATACCAATAACAAAACATTCAAAACTGTATTCAACAATCAACAATATGTTTGAGTTATATTAATACCGTTGCCACAATAAAAAACTCTTAACACAATATCATTTATTTTGTTGATAGTGTACAAGTCTTGATACCTGAAATTAGTACTAATTTAAATAGTTCCTGGATTCTTTTGAGACCAAGGTAATGGCATTTATTCATAACTGATAGATAATGACAGAGGTTATTAATAGGTTTTTGATTGACTCACTGTGGACTGGGCATTGCGGATACAGAAAAATATAATATTTTATAAATCATGTTGACCTGTTGACTGAGGGAGAAGCGGGTAAATATGAATGAAGGACTTGGCTCATGCTCTAAAGTCTTACAAAACAAAAGATAATAACACAAGAAGGCAGAACGGTCTTGAGCCAGTCCCCAATCACACTACTCTTGAGAAAACCCTGTCCTCTCTTCCGTAGAGAACCTGAACACCCTTATAATGTTATTGACTACAAAGTGGTGGATCCATGATTGTATAAAGACAGGACGGGATTTTCTTTTCCCGGGCATGTGATCCGGTATTTTTACTGACCCTTATACATATTCACATTGGAATGAGTGAGGGTGTGTAGGAGGGAGGCAATCTACATACTGGATGTCAAGTCTTAACCTGTTTTAATAGTATCATTGTGTTGGATAAACAATTGCTAACATTAAACTACCTTAAACAAATTCCACTTTACATCATGATACAGTAGCCATCCTTAATAATTTTGCAATACGTTATTCTGACATTCGATTTAAATAGTACTTTGAAAAACTAATTTGACATAGCACAAAAGTGTGAAAACAAATAAACATGGAACACTTTGTAATTTCAAAAGAGTGACAAAAATAATAAAAACTGGGACAAAGAGATTCAATTTTTCATTTTTGTAGGTTTTTTAATTTAAATATTTAGTTTCATCAGTACTCACAATTGAAAAAGCTGTCTCTCCATTAGCAATTCCGTAGCCCTTCGAATTGTCATATGAAAAGTATATTATGCACTACTAGTCTAATAATTTTCTTTCTGTTTTTATATTATGACAGAAAGTTTACTTTTATCATCCACTTCCAGAAACGATCAACTTTTCGTACCTGCTCTTAACGGTGTACCAATAGGGAGAGTAAAATTGTACACTTACGTTTGACTATAAAGGTAAAGAGTACACCTCCAGTATAACAAAAACATGTAGTGATTTAGTAAGAGTCCAACAAAATACGATCAAATCAATACCTTTGCAGATGATGCCATCGATGACGATGTTGAATAGAAGTCATCGTGACACTGACCGCGGAGTGTCAGGTCCTTCAGATGAGTCATCTTACAGATGAACTGAGCGAGATCACGTGATGCAGAGGGACGTTCACTGAGATCAGCAGAGTAGATGTAAAGAGTCTCAATCTGTTATGATAGCAACATTATGTTGAATGAATACCAATAACAAAACATTCAAAACTGTATTCAACAATCAACAATATGTTTGAGTTATATTAATACTGTTGCCACAATAAAAAAACTCTTAACACAATATCATTTATTTTGTTGATAGTGTACAAGTCTTGACACCTGAAATTAGGACTAATTTAAATAGTTCCTGGATTCTTTTGAGACCAAGGTAATGGCATTTATTCATAACTGATAGATAATGACAGAGGTAATTAATAGGTTTTTGATTGACTCACTGTGGACTGGGCATTGCGGATACAGAAAAATATAATATTTTATAAATCATGTTGACCTGTTGACTGAGGGAGAAGCGGGTAAATATGAATGAAGGACTTGGCTCATGCTCTAAAGTCTTACAAAACAAAAGATAATAACACAAGAAGGCAGAACGGTCTTGAGCCAGTCCCCAATCACACTACTCTTGAGAAAACCCTGTCCTCTCTTCCGTAGAGAACCTGAACACCCTTATAATGTTATTGACTACAAAGTGGTGGATCCATGATTGTATAAAGACAGGACGGGATTTTCTTTTCCGGGCATGTGATCCGGTATTTTTACTGACCCTTATACATATTCACATTGGAATGAGTGAGGGTGTGTAGGAGGGAGGCAATCTACATACTGGATGTCAAGTCTTAACCTGTTTTAATAGTATCATTGTGTTGGATAAACAATTGCTAACATTAAACTACCTTAAACAAATTCCACTTTACATCATGATACAGTAGCCATCCTTAATAATTTTGCAATACGTTATTCTGACATTCGATTTAAATAGTACTTTGAAAAACTAATTTGACATAGCACAAAAGTGTGAAAACAAATAAACATGGAACACTTTGTAATTTCAAAAGAGTGACAAAAATAATAAAAACTGGGACAAAGAGATTCAATTTTTCATTTTTGTAGGTTTTTTAATTTAAATATTTAGTTTCATCAGTACTCACAATTGAAAAAGCTGTCTCTCCATTAGCAATTCCGTAGCCCTTCGAATTGTCATATGAAAAGTATATTATGCACTACTAGTCTAATAATTTTCTTTCTGTTTTTATATTATGACAGAAAGTTTACTTTTATCATCCACTTCCAGAAACGATCAACTTTTCGTACCTGCTCTTAACGGTGTACCAATAGGGAGAGTAAAATTGTACACTTACGTTTGACTATAAAGGTAAAGAGTACACCTCCAGTATAACAAAAACATGTAGTGATTTAGTAAGAGTCCAACAAAATACGATCAAATCAATACCTTTGCAGATGATGCCATCGATGACGATGTTGAATAGAAGTCATCGTGACACTGACCGCGGAGTGTCAGGTCCTTCAGATGAGTCATCTTACAGATGAACTGAGCGAGATCACGTGATGCAGAGGGACGTTCACTGAGATCAGCAGAGTAGATGTAAAGAGTCTCAATCTGTTATGATAGCAACATTATGTTGAATGAATACCAATAACAAAACATTCAAAACTGTATTCAACAATCAACAATATGTTTGAGTTATATTAATACCGTTGCCACAATAAAAAAACTCTTAACACAATATCATTTATTTTGTTGATAGTGTACAAGTCTTGACACCTGAAATTAGGACTAATTTAAATAGTTCCTGGATTCTTTTGAGACCAAGGTAATGGCATTTATTCATAACTGATAGATAATGACAGAGGTAATTAATAGGTTTTTGATTGACTCACTGTGGACTGGGCATTGCGGATACAGAAAAATATAATATTTTATAAATCATGTTGACCTGTTGACTGAGGGAGAAGCGGGTAAATATGAATGAAGGACTTGGCTCATGCTCTAAAGTCTTACAGAACAAAAGAGAATAACACAAGAAGGCAGAACGGTCTTGAGCAAGTTCCCAATCACACTACTCTTGAGAAAACCCTGTCCTCTCTTCCGTAGAGAACCTGAACACCCTGATAATGTTATTGACTACAAAGTGGTGGATCCATGATTGTATAAAGACAGGACGGGATTTTCTTTTACCGGGCATGTGATCCGGTATTTTTACTGACCCTTATACATATTCACATTGGAATGAGTGAGGGTGTGTAGGAGGGAGGCAATCTACATACTGGATGTCAAGTCTTAACCTGTTTTAATAGTAACATTGTGTTGGATAAACAATTGCTAACATTAAACTACCTTAAACAGATTCCACTTTACATCATGATACAGTAGCCATCCTTAATAATTATGCAATACGTTATTCTGACATTCGATTTAAATAGTACTTTGAAAAACTAATTTGACATAGCAGAAAAGTGTGAAAACAAATAAACATGGAACACTTTGCAATTTCAAAAGAGTGACAAAAATAATACAAACTGGGACAAAGAGATTCGATTTTTCATATTTGTAGGTTTTTAAATTGAAATATTTAGTCCCATCAGCATTCACAATTGAAATGGCAGTCTTTCCATGAGCAATTCCGTAGCCCTTCGAATTGTCATATCAAATGTATATTATGCACTATTACTCTAATAATTTTCATTCTGTTTTTATATTATGACAGAAAGTTTACTTTTATCATCCACTTCACGAAACGATCAACTTTTCGTACCTGCTCTTAACGGTGTACCAATAGGGAGAGTAAAATTCTACACTTGCGTTTGACTATAAAGGTACAGAGTACACCTCCAGTATAACAAAAACATGTAGTGATTTGTTAAGAGTCCAACAAAATACAATCAAATCAATACCTTTGCAGATGATGCCATCGATGACGATGTTGAGTAGAAGTCATCGTGATACTGACCGTGGAGTGTCAGGTCCTTCAGATGAGTCATCTTACAGATGAACTGAGCGAGATCACGTGATGCAAAGGGACGTTCACCAAGATCAGCAGAGTCGATGTCAAGAGTCTCAATCTGTTATGATAGCAACATTATGTTGAATGAATACCAATAACAAAACATTCAAAACTGTATTCAACAATCAACAATATGTTTGAGTTATATTAATACCGTTGCCACAATAAAAAACTCTTAACACAATATCATTTATTTTGTTGATAGTGTACAAGTCTTGACACCTGAAATTAGTACTAATTTAAATAGTTCCTGGATTCTTTTGAGACCAAGGTAATGGCATTTATTCATAACTGATAGATAATGACAGAGGTAATTAATAGGTTTTTGATTGACTCACTGTGGACTGGGCATTGCGGATACAGAAAAGTACAATATTTTATAAATCATGTTGACCTGTTGACTGAGGGAGAAGCGGGTAAATATGAATGAAGGACTTGGCTCATGCTCTAAAGTCTTACAGAACAAAAGATAATAACACAAGAAGGCAGAACGGTCTTGAGCCAGTCCCCAATCACACTACTCTTGAGAAAACCCTGTCCTCTCTTCCGTAGAGAACCTGAACACCCTTAAAATGTTATTGACTACAAAGTGGTGGATCCATGATTGTATAAAGACAGGACGGGATTTTCTTTTCCCGGGCATGTGATCCGGTATTTTTACTAACCCTTATACATATTCACATTGGAATGAGTGAGGGTGTGTAGGAGGGAGGCAATCTACATACTGGATGTCAAGTCTTAACCTGTTTTAATAGTAACATTGTCTTGGATAAACAATAAACAATTGCTAACATTAAACTACCTTAAACAGATTCCACTTTACATCATGATACAGTAGCCATCCTTAATAATTATGCAATACGTTATTCTGACATTCGATTTAAATATTACTTTGAAAAACTAATTTGACATAGCAGAAAAGTGTGAAAACAAATAAACATGGAACACTTTGCAATTTCAAAAGAGTGACAAAAATAATACAAACTGGGACAAAGAGATTCGATTTTTCATATTTGTAGGTTTTTAAATTGAAATATTTAGTCCCATCAGCATTCACAATTGAAATGGCAGTCTTTCCATGAGCAATTCCGTAGCCCTTCGAATTGTCATATGAAAAGTATATTATGCACTACTAGTCTAATAATTTTCATTCTGTTTTTATATTATGACAGAAAGTTTACTTTTATCATCCACTTCCAGAAACGATCAACTTTTCGTACCTGCTCTTAACGGTGTACCAATAGGGAGAGTAAAATTGTACACTTACGTTTGACTATAAAGGTAAAGAGTACACCTCCAGTATAACAAAAACATGTAGTGATTTAGTAAGAGTCCAACAAAATACGATCAAATCAATACCTTTGCAGATGATGTCATCGATGACGATGTTGAATAGAAGTCATCGTGACACTGACCGCGGAGTGTCAGGTCCTTCAGATGAGTCATCTTACATATGAACTGAGCGAGATCACGTGATGCAGAGGGACGTTCACTGAGATCAGCAGAGTAGATGTAAAGAGTCTCAATCTGTTATGATAGCAACATTATGTTGAATGAATACCAATAACAAAACATTCAAAACTGTATTCAACAATCAACAATATGTTTGAGTTATATTAATACCGTTGCCACAATAAAAAAACTCTTAACACAATATCATTTATTTTGTTGATAGTGTACAAGTCTTGACACCTGAAATTAGGACTAATTTAAATAGTTCCTGGATTCTTTTGAGACCAAGGTAATGGCATTTATTCATAACTGATAGATAATGACAGAGGTAATTAATAGGTTTTTGATTGACTCACTGTGGACTGGGCATTGCGGATACAGAAAAATATAATATTTTATAAATCATGTTGACCTGTTGACTGAGGGAGAAGCGGGTAAATATGAATGAAGGACTTGGCTCATGCTCTAAAGTCTTACAGAACAAAAGAGAATAACACAAGAAGGCAGAACGGTTTTGAGCAAGTTCCCAATCACACTACTCTTGAGAAAACCCTGTCCTCTCTTCCGTAAGAACCTGAACACCCTGATAATGTTATTGACTACAAAGTGGTGGATCCATGATTGTATAAAGACAGGACGGGATTTTCTTTTACCGGGCATGTGATCCGGTATTTTTACTGACCCTTATACATATTCACATTGGAATGAGTGAGGGTGTGTAGGAGGAGGGCGTTCTACATACTGGATGTCAAGTCTTAACCTGTTTTAATAGTAACATTGTGTTGGATAAACAATTGCTATTATTAAACTACCTTAAACAGATTCCACTTTACATCATGATACAGTAGCCATCCTTAATAATTATGCAATACGTTATTCTGACATTCGATTTAAATAGTACTTTGAAAAACTAATTTGACATAGCAGAAAAGTGTGAAAACAAATAAACATGGAACACTTTGTAATTTCAAAAGAGTGACAAAAATAATACAAACTGGGAGAAGAGATTGATTTTTCACTTTTGTAGGTTTTTAATTTAAATATTTAGTCTCATCAGCATTCACAATTGAAATGGCAGTCTCTCCATCAGCAATTCCGTAGCCCTTCGAATTGTCATATGAAATGTATATTATGCACTATTACTCTAATAATTTTCATTCTGTTTTTATATTATGACAGAAAGTTTACTTTTATCATCCACTTCCAGAAACGATCAACTTTTCGTACCTGCTCTTAACGGTGTACCAATAGGGAGAGTAAAATTCTACACTTGCGTTTGACTATAAAGGTACAGAGTACACCTCCAGTATAACAAAAACATGTAGTGATTTGTTAAGAGTCCAACAAAATACAATCAAATCAATACCTTTGCAGATGATGCCATCGATGACGATGTTGAGTAGAAGTCATCGTGATACTGACCGTCGAGTGTCAGGTCTTCAGATGAGTCATCTTACATATGAACTGAGCAAGATCACGTGATGCAAAGGGACGTTCACCGAGATCAGCAGAGTCGATGTCAAGAGTCTCAATCTGTTATGATAGCAACATAATGTTGAATGAATACCAATAACAAAACATTCAAAACTGTATTCAACAATCAACAATATGTTTGAGTTATATTAATACCGTTGCCACAATAAAAAACTCTTAACACAATATCATTTATTTTGTTGATAGTGTACAAGTCTTGACACCTGAAATAAAAGTACTAATTTAAATAGTTCCTGGATTTTTTTGAGACCAAGGTAATGGCATTTATTCATAACTGATAGATAAGGACAGAGGTAATTAATAGGTTTTTGATTGACCCACTGTGGACTGGGCATTGCGGATACAGAAAAATATAATATTTTATAAATCATGTTGACCTGTTGACTGAGGGAGAAGCGGGTAAATATGAATGAAGAACTTGGCTCATGCTCTAAAGTCTTACAAAACAAAAGATAATAACACAAGAAGGCAGAACGGTCTTGAGCCAGTCCCCAATCACACTACTCTTGAGAAAACCCTGTCCTCTCTTCCGTAGAGAACCTGAACACCCTTATAATGTTATTGACTACAAAGTGGTGGATCCATGATTGTATAAAGACAGGACGGGATTTTCTTTTCCCGGGCATGTGATCCGGTATTTTTACTGACCCTTATACATATTCACATTGGAATGAGTGAGGGTGTGTAGGAGGGAGGCAATCTACATACTGGATGTCAAGTCTTAACCTGTTTTAATAGTATCATTGTGTTGGATAAACAATTGCTAACATTAAACTACCTTAAACAAATTCCACTTTACATCATGATACAGTAGCCATCCTTAATAATTATGCAATACGTTATTCTGACATTCGATTTAAATAGTACTTTGAAAAACTAATTTGACATAGCACAAAAGTGTGAAAACAAATAAACATGGAACACTTTGTAATTTCAAAAGAGTGACAAAAATAATAAAAACTGGGACAAAGAGATTCAATTTTTCATTTTTGTAGGTTTTTTAATTTAAATATTTAGTTTCATCAGCATTCACAATTGAAAAAGCAGTCTCTCCATTAGCAATTCCGTAGCCCTTCGAATTGTCATATGAAATGTATATTATGCACTATTAGTCTAATAATTTTCATTCTGTTTTTATATTATGACAGAAAGTTTACTTTTATCATCCACTTCCAGAAACGATCAACTTTTCGTACCTGCTCTTAACGGTGTACCAATAGGGAGAGTAAAATTGTACACTTACGTTTGACTATAAAGGTACAGAGTACACCTCCAGTATAACAAAAACATGTAGTGATTTAGTAAGAGTCCAACAAAATACAATCAAATCAATACCTTTGCAGATGATGTCATCGATGACGATGTTGAATAGAAGTCATCGTGACACTGACCGCGGAGTGTCAGGTCCTTCAGATGAGTCATCTTACATATGAACTGAGCGAGATCACGTGATGCAGAGGGACGTTCACTGAGATCAGCAGAGTCGATGTCAAGAGTCTCAATCTGTTATGATAGCAACATTATGTTGAATGAATACCAATAACAAAACATTCAAAACTGTATTCAACAATCAACAATATGTTTGAGTTATATTAATACCGTTGCCACAATAAAAAAACTCTTAACACAATATCATTTATTTTGTTGATAGTGTACAAGTCTTGACACCTGAAATTAGGACTAATTTAAATAGTTCCTGGATTCTTTTGAGACCAAGGTAATGGCATTTATTCATAACTGATAGATAATGACAGAGGTAATTAATAGGTTTTTGATTGACTCACTGTGGACTGGGCATTGCGGATACAGAAAAATATAATATTTTATAAATCATGTTGACCTGTTGACTGAGGGAGAAGCGGGTAAATATGAATGAAGGACTTGGCTCATGCTCTAAAGTCTTACAGAACAAAAGAGAATAACACAAGAAGGCAGAACGGTCTTGAGCCAGTCCCAATCACACTACTCTTGAGAAAACCCTGTCCTCTCTTCCGTAAGAACCTGAACACCCTGATAATGTTATTGACTACAAAGTGGTGGATCCATGATTGTATAAAGACAGGACGGGATTTTCTTTTACCGGGCATGTGATCCGGTATTTTTACTGACCCTTATACATATTCACATTGGAATGAGTGAGGGTGTGTAGGAGGAGGGCGTT